ATGCATTGCTTTTTGAGTCGCTTGTTGAATAGCAATTGATTTTGGTTATATACTTTGCTGGTACAAATGTGATTTTTATTGATTTTTAATTTTCAGCTTGGGTGTTTTATGAGCGTTGCTCGCGACTGTTTTTTTTTAAGGCTTGCCCAATCAAGCTTTTCCCTCCTGCACCCCTCATGAAATTCAGATTTGCGTTTGATTCGATTTTTTTGGGCTGAATTCGAAACGCTGCATACAAATTAAATGCGCTTGAAATGCAAGGGAGATTCAAAAAAAAAGTACTAATCATTTGAATTTTAAATGCCTTAATTGGGATGGGAAATAAACTGATTTCTTTGAGTCAGACGAATCTGGATTACAATGGCTAAAAGTAGGAGTGCATTCAAAGATTTTCTAGGTTACCTATTTCCTTGCAAATACGGGCCCTTTTTCAAAATATTTAATATTCTTTGCTAGAAATAACTGAGTTCTCAGAAAACCGAGCAAGGTATTATCAACAATATTTACGATCCATAGGTGAGTAAGCCAAATAGCTCGACGTAGATAACCGAAGCAGAAATTATAACCCCAAGAAAAGTTTTCCAGCTGTAAAAGAGTTTGCGTCGAAAGAAAAGAATAGGGATTTATATTTTTAAAAATTGTTTTTTCTTGTATATTTCTCAGTTTTATACGAATGTGTTGTTTGCATGTAGTTTAAATTACTGATGTTTGATATTCCGTGGCTTCTTGTGTAGATCGTGTTGTGGCTTTTGCGTACATCAAGGAGTAAATAGCAAATCTAATTTTATATTTATAGAATTTACACACAGTATATAATTATATGAAATATTCATTTTTATTTTCAGTATTTATTTTGTGTTTTTTTTTGTATTCATTTTCTTTTTTTCTGATTGGTTGGTATTACAAGTATTCATTACGCTTAATTACATATAAGTTGACTTAAAGAACATTATTTCAATTGTTGGTTTGTTGTATGCTTGTCGATAATCGTAATAATAGTTAATAGAACTTAGAGCGAACTAAAACTAAAACAATGTTTGAACATCTCAGCAATGGGTTCTTCATTTAACAAAAATTGGAAGTTTTTGAATGTGTTCTGGCTAAGACTTAAACAACTTTGGTTGAACTTTGAGAACAAATTAAACGCGTGAGTGGAACTGGATGTTTGCTGAAGTTGAAGTTTCTTTTACCTAACAATTCGATTACTGTAGACATTTAGGGTGAAAGAAGAAGTGATCCTGCTATTTTACTTTTGTTTTGTTTTGCGGCTGCTACTGTTTTTCTTTAGGTGGTTGAATATCTTTCTGTTTGCGAAACTTAAGTGTAACTAGCGCTCGTTTAAACTACAGTTTAGTATCACAGAATAGCGCAAAAGCCAGAGATGTGTCAGCCTTTGCAATCGTTTTTCTTGATTTTCTTTTTCTTTGAAATTATCTCAAACGCGGTTGGGAAATGGTTTAAACCCCTTTTATCTCTGCTTGTTTCTTTCCTTCTTTATATCTTGTTTTTTTTTTGGTATCTTAGTTGCTTCACTGATGAGCTGCTCCCATCCGCTGGCCGTACATGGCATATGGCGAATAGTAGGGACCCAAAGCAGCTGCCGCCGCGGCTGCTGCCGGATTGAAGGCTCCACCCGCTCCGAATGGAGATGGTCCGCCGGCCAAAGCTCCCGGTGGCGGCTTGGCATAGGGATGATATCTTGCCGCCGCTGCAGCCGCCGACATCGGACTCAAGGGTGGAGTGGGGTAGCCAGCCCTCAAAGCCGATGGTGGGAAGAGGGTTCCCAGCAGCGATTGAGCCTGGGATTGGGCCAGAGCAGCTGCAGCAGCCGCCGGATCGGAGAGGTTGCCGGTGTGGGTGCGCAGGTGGGAGAAGAGCTCGTCGGAGGTCTGGAACCGCTTGCCGCAGTAGGCATCGCCCACCACCCAACTGCAGACGTAAGGCGCCGATCTTGCCGCAGCCGCATTTGTTGCCGCCGCCGCCGCCGCCTGCGAGTACGGATGAGCTGGTGGCAGTCCGGCGGCACTGGCCATAGCCAGGCCGTATTTCTGGTGCTCGCACTGGGTGCAGCCGGCGGGGCAGGGGGCACCCATCAGCATTTGTTGCGTGTGCGCCGAGTAGGGGCAGCCCTGGCAATAGGGATCCTTGCACACCGGCACGATGGCTTCTCCGCCAGCCGGGGTCTTGATGCGCTGGTAACTGATGTACGGATTGGGCTGACCAGCCGGTCCGCCGCCCGGAGCTCCGCCCGGATAAACTCCATTGGCGGCCACCGCCAACATGGCGGCGTGATGGTGTGAGAATCCCCCGGCGAATGGCGGACGGAAAGCGGGATTCGCATGCTGCTCCATCCCAGGTGGACAGCAGAGGGCGGACAGGGGGTTCAATCCATAAGGTCCGGCGGCCTTGTATGCCGCCGCTGCTGCCGCCGCCGCCGCTGCCATGCTGCTCATCTCCTTGGGATGCTGGGCGGTGCCATTGGCATTGTTCAGCACCTCCATTCCGGAGCGCACAATTGGACTGGCGCCGCGTTGCGAGGATCCCGAGGGCGAGACTGTCTTCCGGCTGGAGGATGAATCGTGCACCGATATCTCCGCCTTTCCGCCCTCCGTGGGCGTGGCATTGGACTTGCTGCGCGATGGCACGCGTTCCTGGGCGGATGAGGAGTTCTTTGAGCTGGGTCTCGTCTGTTCCGCCTCCAAGGAGGAGCTGCTCTTGAAGGAGTTCTGATTCTGGTGGCTCAGCACATTGGTTTCGTACGGCTTGAAGGCCAACTTGATCTCGCCGGTGCTGGTGTTGGCCAAACTTGTGCTGGTGGCAGTGGAACTAATCGGAGTGCTCGACTTAGGCGACTTGGCCTGGCCGGAAGGCGATTTGGCCGCCGAGATCTCGCCACTGCTCGAGGAACTCGACGAGTTCGATGACGAGGAGCAGGCCCCCGGCTTTGTCTTGTTCTTGTCCATCGCCAGCAGAGGCTTCACCGCCGACGAATCCGCTCCGATTTGGGAGCAAGTCTGTGCGAGCAGAGCCAACGGACTCTTTTTGGCGTCCATCTGTGGTGGGTAAAAAAAACAAAGGAAGGTTGGATTTAGTTTTGGGCTTTGAAAATATTTTTGATGAGTGGGAGAAATACACTTCACAAACTATTCTCAGATTTTATATATTTTAGTTTTCAAAAGTTAACTAAAAATGTGAAGTCTAGATTAAAAAAATTAAAAAGTCCAAGAAAAATAAAAAAATAGGCTCTGGCATTATTTATAAACGTTAATTCTTAGACAAATAAATTTTAACTTGAGGAGTCGTAAATCTGTTATTTAATATTGAACCGTTCAGTATACAGAATTTTAAATTTGTCAGAACTATTTGAACAAAATATTTAATTTAATCAATTTATAGTTTCAAGCTTATTATATTTCTAGGTGTTTTTTTTATCTGCTCATTTGTTTCTTTTAATTTGTTTGGTTTTTTAGTCAATACTAACCGTTGTTGGCAATGGGGCCAGATAATCCGGTTGAAGGTACTGGTTGTTACCGATGGTAACAACGCCGCCGCCTCCTTCCAAGACAACCATTTTAGTTGCTTAGTGTGGTTTTGTGTAGGGTAATCCACTAAATTTTGCGAGACAAGGCTACAAATGTGTAGCGTTGCTTCGGCGTCGATGAGGTTAATCCACAGAAATGCGTCGGCAAACGTAGGTTAATCCAAAATAATCGGCGTTAAAACACTTGTTTAGTTTTGGGCAGAGAACTTATCTCTGTTGCACTTTTTGGCCAAGAGTTGTATGTTTTGGCTCTGATTTCACTTTTCACTAGAAACGAAACACTCTCGATCGGTGACCACAGTTGGTGTTTATTTTCTTGGTTGGTCTTGTACTTTGTCACTCGAATGGTTTTCAGGTTTTTCCGAACACGTCTGAACGCTGCGAAGGCAAAATTCGTTTTGAAACGACCGAACGCTGCTGCGAGTGTAACTGGCCTCGGAGTGAAGCGCTCTCTCGGTGGCGCTCTCTCAGCCGCTCTCGCGCTCTCACGCTCTTTGGTGAGCAGCGGCTGCACACTCCCGCTTGCTGCCTGCGTTAGAAGGAGCACCGCATGCTGTGTGTGAGCGTGACGCACTGAGTATAATTTTCAAATATGGCGTACTTTTTGCCCAATCACAATCGCATGCGCTTTGCAATGGAAGCCAAGACAGGTTTTTGCCTCTTCCGGTCTCTGCTTCGCTCTCGCTGCACCACGGCAACACTCGTTGAGAGAGCAACAGATGGCGCTGAGAGTGGTGCTCACTGCCTTTGTTGTTGTTTCGGTGGGGCACATTAATTTTATCTTGGCACATATGCCTCTCCGTCTCTCTGGGGGAACTTTTTCTTGATGGGGCTGTCAACAGCAGCAGCGCTGCAGAGGGTCGGCAGAGGGGCGGCAGCGGAGCGGCAGAGGCCTCATTGTCTTCCCAACTGAGATTTGTTGCTCGGAAAAGCAAACCACTCAACACTTAAACACACTCTTCAACCATTTCCATCGCCTCGCTTCGCTCGTTTTAATGTCATATAAAAATTAATTTGTTTGTCGCTCTCCCGCTCTTCTGCTCGCCCTCTCTCCCTCCCACACACCAACACACACACAGCTGTTCGGGTTGTTGTTGTGTGGCCTTTGTTTAGCGTTTTTCGATTAACTTCTGCGGTTGGTTTTTCTTCGCTTTTTTTTTGTGGCTCCTGGTTTGCTGTTTAAGTGGAAATCGTTGTTTTGTTGTCGCGTCGAAAAGTTTTTCCAAGCAATTTTTCCTGTTTCCTTGGTGTGTGTGTAATTAATCTGCGCATATCAAACAAGTGAGTGTTTGCTGTGGTATGTTGCACTCCAAAAGTTGGTAATAGTTTAATGGTTTGGTTAACTTCGCTGCATTCTTAATCGTTCTGCAATTGGATTGGATTTTTCGGTTAGCGCTTGCCTCGTTTATTTATTTTTACACCTCACGAACCTTATAACTAATTTAACGGGTTGGTTGTTTTAAGGTAATTATTTTATTTCAGCTGGTTCATTGCAAATCAAGGTTTAGTAGTTTTTATTTTAAGATAACAATCTGCAGCACTTAAAATGGTTTTAAAAATATTCAGCAACATTTTTTAATCTATTTTAAAACGCTTAATATTAATATGGTCCCTAATCGATATTAAATATGCCCGATAATCCCTTACAAAATCCGCTGTTTTCCGCCCGAAAATAGTTTTAAAATACTTTGATCAGGCCTCAAGAAGATCTCCGAAATCTCTGGTGTTTAGAGAATGTTACCTAATCACCGGGCCGAGTTTAAAGACCCCCTCAAAGCCCCTGGCCAGTAAATTAAAATGTGTGTAAATATGGGCGATAAGCCGAGACCTTAAAGCGATAGTTTTAATCCCGATTTAGGGTATTTAGACATTTTCAAGGGGAATTCCTAAGCCAGGAAACCGGCAGCTAAATACCTGCGAGGTGTCCAAAACAGGTAGAGGAAATGCTCTCGACCTTCGGCGAAAATGATGGATTTATTAGGTAAGAGCGTGCTGCGATACTTTACGATCCGGCTTAGACATAATTTGCGGTTTTGCGTGCAGAGCGCGGTAACAAAGCCAAAAAAAAAAAAATGTACTCAAAGTGTTGCCAAAATAAATATGTATATATGTAGATTCTGGTACAGTGGGGTTAGAGAGTTTACGCACACGTTCCACACAGCATTTTCCTTTATTATTTGTTATTTTTTATGGCCACTTTGTCAGCGTCATAAATTCGCTGCTCCTGTATGTGAATTATTTACTAGCAAATTGCGGGAGTGGGCCGCAGGCAAACTCGAAACTCTCGCCGGAGGAGGAGGAGGGGGGGTGTCATATAAATAATACAAAAATATTATAAATTACACGAAGCCAAAGAAATTGCCAGGCGGAAGTGCGGAACACCTTGATACCGTGACTAAAGCGATTTGCTTTCAGACTAATGCTCACCCTGGAGCATTTTAGCGTTGATAGCTTAATTTTATGTAAGGGGAAGTCTTCACGGGAGGGACACGAATTTCATAAATTGTACGCTATTTATTGTTAAATTATACAATTTCTATACTCGAGTAATGGCGTCTTATCGAGGAAAGTTTTTTTTTCTGCGGATAAGTGCTTTAAAATTTATTTGTACATTTGATGTAAATTTATTTGTAAGCCTTAAAATCCAACTAAAATAAAAGACGCACTTTTATATCAAAAAGAGCAATATTTACTGTTCAATACATTTATCATGTATTCATTCAAAATGTTTAGGTTATTAAAATAAACAATCAGTCGAAAATTCCTTATACCCTAGATTTCCTCGCTGAAGTCGTAAAGAAAAGCGCAGAGAGATATTCAGATGTAGTGGGAGAAATTTGTAGCCGCGAAAACATTTATATGAGGAATATAAAAAGGAAGTATACTTGAAGCCGCAGTAACAACAACAAAACAGCAAGAACAACAACAAATGAGGGGAAAGGCGGCGGCAGCACATAAAATTAACCACATATTTCTTCATTTTTATGGCATTTATTATCACAGAAATGTTTGTGTGATAAAAGCGAAGCAGCGCAAAAGGCGAACGACGATGAACGACGACGATGGCGGCGCAGTCATAAAAATGCAGCCATTTACCTTTTGATTTATGCACAACACTGGGTGGTTGTTGGAGTGGGTGGATGGGTGGTGCGAGCGAGAACGGTGGGCGGTGGGTGGTGGTGGGTGGTTAGCCTGTGGCATTGGATGGGGGCACGCATGCACAACAACTGCCAAGCAAAAGGAGCGAAAAATAATGCAATAAATTTGACATTATCTCCGGCAATATGAAGGTACATTTATATCCGTGAAGTGGATGCCATTGGTAAGGGAAAGTCGTTTAACTGTCTGCGGATTTTCAGTTGACTTACGCACAAAGAAGAACCCCCAGCCGAACCAGGATAATTGCTTTATTTTGCCTTCTGAAAAACCTCTTCCCAGGTCATAAAGAATTTATCTGGCCAGACATATTTTACCCAGTTTGGGAGAGGAACATATGAATTATAATACCAAGAAAATAATTACTTTAAAGATTTAGGTTTTAGTTTGAAATTCTTTGATTAACATTTTTCAAGAGAGAGAATATTTCAACATTTTAATGATAATATATGATTTAATGCTTTCCTTTCTTTTGAATATATTTATAAAGAAATGTAAAAACTCATTCATTTTGAATGTTTTTCATGCTTGATTAACCAAGACCAATTCCAGTCATATTTCCCCCGAATATCGCCTATGTTTCGCCATAATTACTTCCGATTTGAATGCGTCTACGTGCCGTGCAGCAGGACAATAACTCACTTTCCAACTGGGGAGGGCGAAAATGCCATTTAAAAAATTGAAAAACAAACTGCAATAAATTCAATAGAAGCGTATGAAAGTGAACAAAGCAGGCACACACATCGACGGATCCCTAAAAAATGTGTTTCGAACTCTATGGAAGGGGATGCCGAGGGTGTCCCGCTGTGACTACCGAGTTGAATCGAGTCCGAGCTCCGCCTGCCGCCTGTCGATAATTTATCGACAACGATTTATCTCGTAATAGTTGCCCAAAAAGGAAGAAGAATAATGGTGACATTGAAATTTTACGGTAATGCACCAAAAAAAGGGATCCTTTTTGCCAAACTGCGGGCTGTATTTGCCTCACCCTCAGCAACACCCCCTGTGTGGCATCGCTGGGTGGATTAATAAAGCAAATTAATCGTTCCCAATGGCTCCCCCCTAAAAAATATTGGAATAAAGGACACGGCAGAAAAAAGTGGAAATACCTACAACTTGACACGTGCAGGATTCTAAAATGATAAATTGATGGCCTCAATTTTTATTGCCATTTTGGGTATTAAGTAGGGGAATGTTGTCAGGGTTGGACCGTTGTCAGGCTTGGGCCATCTCAATATTTCGAATATTCGTTCTAGTACCTTCTGTTTGTGGGTGTGAAGAACTTCTATCGGTCACTCGAAACTTTCCACGTGACTACTTATTTCGAGATTTCATTTTTCTACGTGTCGTTGTTCTTTGAAAAAAGTGCTCGAAAAGTTTTTTTAACCTGGCCGAAAAGGTGGAATAACACAAGATTACAACATGTCATCCGCAAAGTGAACATAAAAATACGTTATATAGTTGTTATATTACAAAATACTAAGATATAGTTTCATTGATAGATATAGGTTGGCTATATCATACCATAATAGATTAATACCGCATGTCGTCAGGGTTGGGCCACTTGTGTAGTCAGGCTTGGGCCATCATAATTTTTACATTTTATTCGTGTATTTTGATTTTTGTTGTAATATTTAAGTTTTTTGTAGCAAAAATATGCAAAATAAATTAAATAGATATCCTTAAAAAAATATTTCGATGGATTGAAGAAGATGAATCATTTTTATCTTTTTTTTAGTGTTTCTCGCTACAAACGAAAAACAACTCTGACTAATTTGATATTGACTGTAAAATCCCAAATAATTAAATAAATGAACAAAATAATGTCAGATTTACCTAAATTCAATTTTATTCCACCACGTTACGATATTGTCAACGATTTTCTGAAGGTGGCCCAACCCTGACTACATGGCCCAACGCTGACTACATTTTTTTTTTCAAACGCCTATAACTTTTTTGTTTTTGTTTTTTTATTCTCTATTTTTGGTGAACACTTTCTCTTGCTTGTACCTTTCCAAAAATGTATAAACTTATTCTGAATTGTCATTCGTTCAGAACTTATGGACATAGGTCAAAATATGGCCCAACCCTGACAACATTCCCCTATTAATTGCTTACAATATCCGATCCGATGGAGGTGTGTTTAAGGGGAGGGGATATTCTGATGATATACGGCGGTTATTGATATAGGTTTAATCCAGAAAATAAATCACAGACCTAATAATATGTGGTGTTTTGTAAAAATTGGGGT